GAATGCGAGTGTGCTGTTCCAGATAACACAATTTTATCTAAAAAAGAACATTTCAGATGAAACCAAGTAGCAATTATTTTTCAAATTAGATATATAAAGAAGAGAAAATGAAGGAGTGAATATACGGACTCTTTGTAATGAATTAAAGTAGGTATACACTCTAACTATGTCATTTACGAATAGTAAACCGGAACCACGCTTCTTTTTTCCGAGATGTGATTTTTTTTAACTATATTGGTATGACTTTTACGTTGCGTTTCAAATATTCAATAACGGTTTTGCTCCAAGTCGATCGCGAAAACAAACGTACAAACATTGATTCTACAGTTTAAGGATAAATTAATTAAAAGGAGAAGGCTGGGAACAACTTTTGTTTAACATAAATGATTAGGAACTAAAACGATATTTCTGTGAATGATGTATGTATTATATGCCCCTCCGATAACACATGGATCGAACTGTTGAAGTCGAGGCGACTATTTTGCAGCCAAGTTGAAGCTAATAGTGATCATTCGCAAGAAAACTAATGACTTCGATTTGACTTAGACAATCTGTGAATTTTACTAATTAAAAATCAAAATTTAATATGAATAATATTTATTGTAAAAGACGCACCCCCATCAACCTGCTTACCCACAAATCACAATGCAAAATAATTTATAGAATATAAGATATGACAAAATTGTATTCATTTGCAGCATACCTAGTTACTTTCTGTAACAAAATCATCTAGTCAGTTAGTCATAAACAGACAATCACACTTATTTTCATTGTCTCCAATTTACATACATACATTACGAGTGTGTTTTAATGATTTTAGAGTAAAATAACATAAATTTTAAGGACAATAGGTATTGGGTATGTATTATTATTGCTTTAAATATGTACAACTTTGTTAAAAGAACTCAAACATTAACAGTATTACAGGAAAATGTGGCAATATATAACTTCTGGAAGAAGGAAATTATGGGGTTTCTTTCGTCTAGAGCTTATACCACGAAAAGTAATGCATCAACATATAATTTGGTAACGTTTTTTTATTCTCTTTCTTAAATATCATTTAGCAAAAATAATGCAAACTTACAAAGTTTGAGTCCATATTTTTTTTTAAAAGACCGAGTTTGAAGCATATTTTCTCAAATTAAATTTTAATACGTTAATCTAACAAAGTGCATCTATATATAATAATTCATGCAAAACAATGATTATATATTGACTAGCATGTTTCTACTCTATTTTGTGTGAATATGTATTTATATACATTAAAATCTAGTTGTAATACTTAATTTTTCAGTTTTTTACATTTCGGGGTATATACTCCGATAGTATAGGCAATAGCGGGAAAGTTAACATGTTGACATATAAATTTTCTTGTGTCTGTCCATTGCTGGGATGTATTTCTATCTTTTAAAAGCAGATTTTTTTTAAAAAAAGATTGAGCCCAATAAGTGCCGAGAGTAGATATACCTTAACTGATTTTCAAGAGATTAAGTACAGCTATTTGTAAAAACCAGGCAGGGGGTGATTCATGACCATTTCAGATTTTTACAAAATTTTAATATGTTGCTTCAAGGACCAAGTGAACATCATTGGACAACATAATTTTTTTGGCCAGCCTTTGTTGCCATGGAAACAATGCACCATGTAAATGCACATGGCAACCAAGCAAAAAATTGAAAAATATGCGAATTTAGCTATTATTGAACACGGGAACAGAGCTTTTTTGATGATAGTGCCATAAATAAATCTTTTTTTCCTGAGAAGTACATACAAAATGATAAATGATTACCATAAGGATGAAGTTATATAGGATTTATTAAAGGTACTGAATTTCAATTTAACATAGGTCATTTAATAAAATTCACTTTTTACAATATTTCTTCAAATCCAACATATTTTAGAAGCATATTAAGAAAAAGGCCCGCAGGTTGAAGAAATCTGATAACATGTGATAGAAAGAGCACATTCTTAATTTTAATAAAATGAAATAAAACCCATGGGTTTTTGATAAATATTCTGTTATCATGGCAACAAAATATCACAAAAATTCATTTTTCACAATAATAACCATTTTAGGAGCAAAGTAAGAATAAATAACATATGTTAAAGAAATCTATAACTTGGGATAGAAAAAGCACATTCTTAATTATAATAAAATTAAATAAAACCCATTGGCTTTTAGATAATATTCTGTTACCATGGCAACAAAATGTCACAAAAATTCATTTTTCACAATTATAACCATTTTTAGGAGCATAGTAAGAAAAAATCCCACAGGTTAAAGAAATCTGAAAATGTGGAATAGAAGGAGCACTTTCTTAATTTCAATAAAATTAAATAAAACCCATTGGTTTTTAGATAATATTCTGTAACCATGGCAATAAAATGTCACTAAAATTCATTTTTACAATAACAACCATTTTTAAGAGCATAGTTAGAAAAAATCCCACATGTTAAAGAAAACTGAAAGCATGGGATAGAAAGAGCACTTTCTTAATTGTAATAAAATAAAACAAAACCCATGGTTTTTTCAAAAATATTCTGTAACCATGGCAACAGAATATCACAAAAATTCATTTTTCAAGAAAATACCAAAATACATCATTTTCAGAGTATGTTGTGGAAAATATACCACAAGCACTAATAATTGATAAGATGACAGAAAATGTTCTCCTAAACCTTGCAAATATTAGATAAAACCAGTGGATTTCTCATAAATTTTTGTAACCATGGTAACAAATTATTCTTGAAATGCTTTTTTTTTTATAAATTGTCTTTACAAAATCTCCATAAAATACAAAATAATTATTGACTAACATACATGTATTATTTTCACAGTTTATTGTAAATGCATGAAAATATATTTTTTTAAATATGCTTCTGTGATTTGTATCTGGTTACCATGGCAACATCTCCAAAAATATTGTATTTGCCTATACAATTTAGCCAATGTGATTAGCTTGTATGAAGAAAACTGTATGAGTGGCCATTAGCTAAGATATTGAAAGACACAATATTTTTTTTTGTACCTAACTTTTTTAAAACAAGTATTTGGTTTCTGTGGTAACTGTGATTAACCATTCATGAGACATGATCTAAATATTTCAATTGTATTTTTAAAGCAATTTTTGAAAAATCATCCGTAAATGTACTTACTGCTGAAATATAGCATCTATGAATTTGAGGGTGAAAATTAATGTGACTGCTCAATGTCGCCGCCCGCCCCACAGTTAAGTTGCCAGACCATCGGCTTAAATGTGACCTAGGCATAATTTGCGAAACTAGTGAATATTTATCGTTTGCGAATTAAAGTTGGTTTACAGTAAAGAAACCTTGAAAAAATGTCAATTTAACTTTATAAAGTGTATCAAATTTCAAAAAATCCATGTTCTTGACTAGATAGGCAAACTAAAATTCAAAATTTTATGTCGAAGGGGTATAATATTCAATATCCTTGGGTGTATCCTGGTCTTGGTTTCAATATATTATATAAAACCCATGGGTTTTTAGATAATATTCTGTTACCATGGCAACAAAATGTCACAAAAATTCATTTTTCACAATTATAACCATTTTTAGGAGCATAGTAAGAAAAAATCCCACAGGTTAAAGAAATCTGAAAATGTGGAATAGAAGGAGCACTTTCTTAATTTCAATAAAATTAAATAAAACCCATTGGTTTTTAGATAATATTCTGTTACCACGGCAACAAAATGTCACTAAAATTCATTTTTACAATAATAACCATTTTTAAGAGCATAGTTAGAAAAAATCCCACATGTTAAAGAAAACTGAAAGCATGGGATAGAAAGAGCACTTTCTTAATTGTAATAAAATAAAACAAAACCCATGGTTTTTTCAAAAATATTCTGTAACAATGGCAACAGAATATCACAAAAATTCATTTTTCAAGAAAATACCAAAATACATCATTTTCAGAGTATGTTGTGGAAAATATACCACAAGCACTAATAATTGATAAGATGACAGAAAATGTTCTCCTAAACCTTGCAAATATTAGATAAAACCAGTGGATTTCTCATAAATTTTTGTAACCATGGTAACAAATTATTCTTGAAATGCTTTTTTTTTTTATAAATTGTCTTTACAAAATCTCCATAAAATACAAAATAATTATTGACTAACATACATGTATTATACTGACACGCAAAAGAAACGCAACAAGCAGTAATTTACAAATGTTTGATTTTTTATCTTATGATTTTCAAAAGGGAATAAAGTAAGGATAAATTCACTTTTCAGAACATCAGAGATTTGAGAAATATATTAAATGTTGTTCTGTTTACTTTACTAAGTAAAATATGACTGTTAAAACACCCCCCTCCCAGTCATTCAAGTAAAACGTGCAAGACTGCCCAAAACAACAATTGCAGCTTAATTTCTACGATGCAGTAGGTTCATTAATATCGAGATCTCAGCGAAGGAATTATTCTTTGACAGTTTTAAATGCCCGTTTTTCAGATAATTAGGTCGAATTTTCTCTAACTTAGAGCACCCTTGGACTTCCGGTACAAGACTGTCCTTAATGCACATGATACGTAAGACCCTGTTGATGCGAAATGTAGTGACATTTCGCATCAGCAACTCTCCATCACCTTTAGATTGAAATTTTCCAGCTAGAGCAATGGAAATGCGTAGATATGCCATTTTCATGTAGCCTTAGCATTGTTTCGGGAAATGAAAGTACAGTTTATTTTTTGAAATATTGCTGCATTACTTATGATGAACAGTAAAAAAACCCTTAAAACTCCATAATATTGCCAAATGTTTTGTTAAACATGCAATTTTTGATTTCTGTTAAGCAGACTAAAACTTGACTTCCGGTTATGGTATGGAAATCGTTCAACCGTTAATTTACTGATGTTCACCAAATTGAAGATATTCATAATTTTTAGATACAGAATTCTTAACTTTACATAATTATTTCCCCCTAAAATAGGGTGTTGCGTTTCTTTTGCGTGTCAGTATATTTTCACAGTTTATTGTAAATGCATGAAAATATATTTTTTTAAATATGCTTTTGTGATTTGTATCTGGTTACCATGGCAACATCTCCAAAAATATTGTATTTGCCTATACAATTTAGCCAATGTGATTAGCTTGTATGAAGAAAACTGTATGAGTGGCCATTAGCTAAGATATTGAAAGACACAACATTTTTTTTTGTAACTAACTTTTTTAAAACAAGTATTTGGTTTCTGTGGTAACTGTGATTAACCATTCATGAGACATGATCTAAATATTTCAATTGTATTTTTAAAGCAATTTTTGAAAAATCATCCGTAAATGTACTTATTGCTGAAATATAACATCTATGAATTTGAGGGTGAAAATTAATGTGTCTGCTCAATGTCGCCGGATAATCGTGTCAGTCGATCATGTTCTTTCAGCCCACAGTTAAGTTGCCAGACCATCGGCTTAAATGTGACCTAGGCATAATTTGCGAAACTAATGAATATTTATCGTTTGCGAATTAAAGTTGGTTTACAGTAAAGAAACCTTGAAAAAATGTCAATTTAACTTTATAAAGTGTATCAAATTTCAAAAAATCCATGTTCTTGACTAGATAGGCAAACTAAAATTCAAAATTTTATGTCGAAGGGGTATAATATTCAAAATTCTTGGGTGTATCCTGGTCTTGGTTTCAATAAAACCCCTTTTACGTTTGGAGGAGCTTAAAAATCAATATCCTTTGTTTCTGGTCTGGATTTCTTTCTAAAAGTTTTTAACTGACAGTGTCTTTATTGGATTTTTTTGGCCATCGTTTAGAAATGTGCCATTGATATTATCTGTATCAACTGTACAGGTACATCTATGTGTCATGGCTGCTAAATAGGTGCTCCAGCTAAATTCCTCTGACATAATGCATGTGGTTGATTCATCGATCTGGAAAAAACATAATTCAAAATTATTTGAACTTTGTTAATGAAAATAAGCATTCCAAAGCAATTTTTTCTTGTTGCTGTTGAAGGAAGAGAGTAGCCAAGGTTCGTTTTCTCTATGATCATGATCATGAATACAAGAAGGCCATGGTCCATAACACTCACTAAAGTAACTCAGGTCTTGCTGTTCTACACTAGATTTTCCTACTTGTAATACCTATCGTAGTCTAGGCCTATTCTTAGGGAGAGGGGGACATGATTTAAACAATTTAGAATCTACACTTAACTCCTGGATGCTTTAACATAAGTTTCAGCTTTTCTGACCCAGTGGCTCCCTATTTTTCTCGTTTCTTGATTATCATCCCTTGTAAGGGGTCTTAGCCCTGCCAAGTTTGGTAAAAATTGGCCCTCACCTGAGCACTGTGGTTATAAAAAAGTAGAAATTGGCTTATTATTGAAAAGTTTTAATCCAAAAATAGTCCCATGACCAATCATGGCTTTGCAGTTCTTGAGAGGAATATTTATAAAGAAATTTCCTATATATTTCTATGTAAAACTTTGGTCGGCCATTTTGGCCCCGCCCTACCCCAAGGGGTCATGATTTGAACAAACTTAAATCTACACTATTTATGTAAAACTTTGGTTGGCCATTGTGGCCCCACCCTACCCCCGGGGTCATGATTTGACCAAACTTGAATCTACACTACCTGAGGATGCTTCCATATAAATATGATCAATTATGGCTTTGTTATTGTTGATGAGAAGATTTTTAAAGAATTTTCCTATATATTTCTATGTAAAACTTTGGTCGGCCATTTTAGCCCCGCCCTACCCCCGGGGGTCATAATTTGAACAAACTTGAATCTAGGATGTTTACCCATAAGTTTCATCTTTCCTTGCTCAGTGGTTCTTGAGAAGGAGATTTTTAAAATGTACCACCAAATTTTCATTAATTCCGAATTATCTTTCCTTGAATGAGGGCGTGGCTCATCATTTAAAAACAAACTTGAATCCCCTTTACCCAAGGATGCTTTGAGACAAGTTTGGTTGAAATTGGCCCCGCGCTTAATTCCTGAGAAAAAGTCGAAAATGTAAAAAGTTTACAGACAGACAGATGGTCACCGGACAAAATGTGACCAGGAAAGCTCACTTGAGTTTTCGGCTCAGGTGAGCTAAAAACCTCAGCTCTACAATTCTTCTCTTTTTCAAGTGATGTAACCCCTTCTTTAACCCTCACCCCATCCTTGCCTCAAGTAGTTAGCTGTTTTTTGATTCTGAATATTAGTATGACTATTACAGCCTTGCTCAGCTGAAAAGGGTTTTTTCAACAACAAAAATTCTGTTTAGATATGCTGCATTTTATAAATTTTAATTTCTAACTTTTTGCTGATTTCAGTTTCCAATATTCAAAGAAACATTTGTATGGATTGAACAAACTAATGAAGATGACACTGTGTTACAATAATACATCTTTTACTCCTATTTGGCTTCCACATACATGTAACTGCAGTAAAACTTGTTTAGTACAAAGACGTGGACATTGTGAATTCACAGATACAGTGAAGTCTTCTTGGATCCCCAACTATGTAAATTTTACGAATTTCAAATATGGATAGAACAAATTATGGATAGAGCGAAGTACTTTTGCAGGCCCCAGTGAGTTTGTTATAACCGAGTTGTACTGTACATATATGTGTAGATAAATGATTTAACAAGAGACCCAGGGCCACATCACTCACCTGGCTTGGATATAAATCAAAAATCAGCTTTGAATTGAAAAGCTTAACAGCATATGTGGTCCTGACCTCTCCCTGTAAGAGAGAGAGAGAGAGAGAGAGAGGGAGCTGGGTTTGATTTGAACATAACTGAATCTACACTAAGGTTGCTTACGGGGTACTTATTTTTGACTGAGTTTTTCCCTACAAGTTTGAACTTTTATTGTGGCCCCAACCTATACCTGGGGGGGGGGTCATGATTTCATCAAATCTACACTACGAGAAAATGCTTCCATATGTATAATATAACTAACTGGCTTTTCTGTTCTTTAGAAGAATATTTTTAAAGGATTTTTCCTTTATTTTCTTATGTAAAACTTTGATTGGCCTTTGTGATCCCACCCTATCCAGGGGTCATGATTTGATCAAACCTGAATCTACACCACCTGAAAATGCTTTCATATAAATATTACCAATCAATGCTTGCTGTATCCGAGAAGAAGATTTTAAAATATTTTTTTTATATATTCCTACGTTTAACTTTGATCATCCGTTGTGGCCCCGTCCTACACCTGGGGTTCATCATTTGAAAATTTTGAATCTACACTACCCGACAATGGTTCCACATAAGTTTCATCTTTCCTGGGCCATTAGTTCTTGGGATGATATAAGTAATGCTATTAATTTTGTAATTCTCTCCCCTTGAAGAATGACAATGACAGACAAAAGACAAACTTTGATCAAAAAAGATCAATAGAGCCTTCGACTCAGGTGAGCTAAAAAATTCAGAGAATCAAGATCAGAAGAAATACCTGTTTCAAAGTCTCTGAATGGCAGTGTTCACTATAATTCAGCCCTTAGTCAGAAGGTCCTTGATTGCTAAATGAAAAGAAATGTTCTTAATGATAATAAAAAAAACTGCAAGTATTCAACACAAAATACCAAATTATCTAATGATACATAAATAATATAAAGTATATGTAACACTTACGTTAGTTAAATTGATAATCTTTTATTGATGACGGTGGTCCCCAGTTTTTAAGTTTACATTACCTCAGCTGTGCAGGTGTTGCCAAAGGGGATTTTGAAATTCAGAACAACGCTCAGATTGCATCTGAAATGATAACAAATCATGAAATTCATCATATGACAAACGAATGCATACATTTATATCACAATTTAGCTTTTGAATTATTGATAATTAAATATTTATTTACCTTCCCCCCTCCCCCGGGTACTAGTGATATCATCATGAATTCATACTATTAGTTATAAATTGAAAAAGAGTTCTAGTTTTGTAGGATCAAATTTTATTTTTTAAGTTTTAAACCTAAATTAGACAAAAACATTGGCAGAAACCCATGCATATTGTATGTGCGTTCTATGCTCTCATATATATATAAAACTCTCTCTCTTTCTATGTGTGTATATATTTGCTTGTAGAAATATTTGGGAAGCCTCCCCCCTATTCGGATAGGGTTTTTTGGCTTTTTTCAGATTTTTGGGGTTGGTTAACACCCTCTACCCCCGTTTCAACTGATAAAACCATAACTACCTGGCCAGTATTTTATTGGTTGTTTTGCTTGTCAATTAAATTTTGAAGGACTCCCCACCCTTATTTATAATTCAAATAAAAGGAAATGCATTTGAAGAATATCATACACATATAAGTTTGGAAATACAGAGTTTGAAAGGGTACAATTTTACATTTTGATTAAATGAATAAGAATAATAGTAATTTTGGTTTTGCCATAACATTTGGGTTTTTTTTTCAGGGCTTAATTAAATATTCCCGATTTTAAGAAGAACCCATTCCCAAAACAGTGTTTGAAATGACAGTGCGCCTGACCGCCCAAGACTCACAAATTTTGCTGTTGGCTTACAATTTGCACATATCGATGCCCAGCTGGACTTGTTTAAAGTTTTCATTTATTAAAATTTATTAATTTGATTAATCGCTTCCGAATCAACTAATGGTATTATGAGCAGTACAGGATTTGTGATTAAAAGGGGGGGATAATTTGTTCAGGCACGGGGTCTTGATAGTGATGTACCAAAGTACAGTCATATGTTAGTCATACCATAGTTTGAATGAAGGGGGTCCAGGGGGCAAAGCCCCGGAAGATCCTGAGATTTCATGCGTTTAAGAGTAAAATTAGGCAAAAAAAATAGTGGTATTGTATGAAAGTATGGCATTATCAATATAATAGTTTCTTACAGCAAAACATGGACACTATTATATTCATACGGGAGGCAGGGGGGGGGGGGGGTATCATTTGCTCATTGCTCACATTACCTCTAGTTTCAAAAATCAATTTTACAAAAGACAATTATTTTCTCACTCTCAGGCTTGTAGATTTTTAGCAGGACTGATAACTTTTAATAGCAGTCAGTCTGTATGTTTGTTAATAATTTTTCTTGACTTTCCCCTTTTCATTTTGAAAAAAAAATAGTCAATAGTGTCTTTGTTTAAACATTAGTCAGATGTTATGTATTAAATACCTGATCTAAATACGACATCCATAGAGGCGCCGAGACAATAGAAAAATTATGCTCCATCCAATCTCTGCTGTTGCTTTCATTACTTCTTGCTATGACTTCATGTATGCTGAGGTTGAGGACTTCTTCCAGTCGACTGTGTATACCACGCAGTACTTTTCGACGGAAAGGAGAGATACCCATCGTACTTTAATCCCCAGCAGCGAGCTAGTGTTCAAATTCTAGTACAAAATCAAATGTTTTTCCCCAAAATTTACTGAATTTAAGTTGTTTTTGGTGTTATTGTTAAACAAGTTAGCCTTTTTCAAAACACTCAAACTCTGTTCTCATTTAGCATGTTTAGCCTTAGGAAATAAAATTTAGTTTTTGTCAGATAAAATTAGGCAAATTGCAGGCAGTTATTTTTTTTATCGTAATCTTATATTTTTCTAATGAAAATTTTAGACTTACATGCCCCTTGGATGTATGAAATCCGACAAAACTTCAAAAATGAAGATGAAATCACAAACATTTCCTAATCCTCACCTTCTAAACTGAAGAGTTAAATACACTCTTTCCAACTCCTTTAACTGAAGAGTGCCAAGGGAGATAACTAAAATTTCATGTTTTTACATAATTTAAAATCACAATATCTATTCGTAATTAAAATAACCCATGGGTTAACCCAATTGTTTTTTACTCTTTGATACTAGATGTTCAATATTTTATAATTCACATTCAAGGAGAGTGCGGGCCTTCTTAAAAAATCACCTGCACATACAGACACCTTTCAATGCATATTGTTGACTGTTTCAGTATATATTGAATCCATCTTTTAATCAACCATGCATGAAATCCATTTATAACTGTGATTAAGTATTTAGTTTGATGTATCTTAATGTAAATATGATAGTTTTTGAAAAATCTATCACTATCATGAATCACTTATTTTTATTTCTGCCTGGTTCTTATAAATAGCTGTACTTAAATTATTGCTGCACATGTAAGGGAAATTTATTTCAAAATTAAAAATAGGACATCTTTTATGATCCTGGCCCATATATTTCATTTTAAAGTATAATTATATTATAAACCACGCTGTATACACTTCTTAACTGAAATGTATTAATACTTCGTATTGAACATATTCCATTCCGATGTTTCACAAAAATGTAAAAAGCTTATCACTTAAACACATTTCATAAGGTGCCCTCGCGCTTCATGAACACATATACCCACGTTTAACTCTGCGTGATTTATACATCACCAATTCACTTTAAATTTAGAGAAAAAAAATAATATACATTCAAAATTATACATTTAATGGAAAATAAAAATACATATAGTTCATGATTAACATTTACCATGAGCTTTGGAAATATATGCACTAATATATACATCTGTACACTGAAAATCCTTTTCACATGGCACAATGTATAATAAGTTTGGCTGTATTCTTTAAGACATATTCGTAGATTTATCAAGAAGACCAAAGGCGTAAAAAAGTTTTTTAAACATTTTATAGAGGTTATTTTTCTTTTGCAATTCTCAATTAAATCAATTCTAAATATAATTTTTTCTACTGTATTCTCTGTTAATGTTCTACCGAAATTTGATATAAATTTAAATTCAAATGCTATATCTAATATGCATGCAACATCCATTATAAAGAGATTTTGTTGAAACAGATTGAAACGGAAGGAATTTTATGCTTCTTTCGAGATGAAAGACTTTCAACGTAATCTATACTAAATGATTCGAAATCTTAGATACAAGAATAGAAAGCTCAAATTGTTTGTTCTTCCTATAGTGATGTATTATGCATTAGAACTTTCATTGAAAATATACAAAAAAATGTAAAAATCAAACCTAGACATTTTAACATTTAATATGAGCTGTCAAATTATGCACTGATATATATGTATTCTGCAAATTTTTTTTACATCGAAAGTGTACTTATTCTTAACAGCGTCGCTTCCCGAATCTTATGATATGGGTATTGTTTTAACGAATGTTTGAAGGATTCTAGAGCTTCCGATAAATCCCCACCAATTTGTTGACAGATTCCCAGTATTTGCCAGGAAATATCTCTGAGATGAACAGGCACACAAGTCCGGTCTTCACACAATAGGAGAGTCTTTAGATCATGTATAGTTTGTTGTGACTTCAGTGTGTCACCAAGTCTGTGCTGATTCAACATTATCAGCATGTGTTACATCGCTAGAGGTCGAATGAACAACATTATCAGCATGTGTAACATCACTAGAGGTGGGATGATTAACATCATCAACATGTGTAACATCACTAGAGGTGGAATGAACAACATTATCAACATGTGTAACATCACTAGAGGTGGAATGAACAACATTATCAACATGTGTAACATCACTAGAGGTGGAATGAACAACATTATCATCATGTGTAACATCACTAGAGGTGGGATGAACAACATTATCAGCATGTGTAACATCACTAGAGGTGGAATGAACAACATTATCAGCATGTGTAACATCAATGGAGGTGGAATGAACAACATTATCAACATGTGTAACATCAATAGAGGTGGGATGAACAATACATTTTCATCATTCTCGTAACTGGTCTTCTGTTCTAGAATGAGTTCATCAATGTATGTGAACTGATAGTGTAAAGTAATATCATTCTGTAGAGCTAATTTGTCGAACCAAAGACATATCCACCGTGCAACGCCTGTACATATCAACATTTACATGATTATTTTGCATACTGTATGGTAATTTCATTTTGTCAAGTGCGTTTTGTAAACATCTGAGTGAATAGTCATATCTACATGTTCTATACAGATGAATAGCAAGATAAAGTATGTCTGACGCAATGCCTAATGTACAAGACAACTTTAGCAATAAAAATACTTTATTGATTCCGCAAAAAGACCTTATTTTGATCTTTATTCTGATTTTAACCACTCAATATCAGTTTCTGGCAGTGTTTCGTAATATGTCTGATGTTATGCACTGAATTGTGACTTCCTGGAAAAGCGTCATTTTTTTTACTTTTCTCTTTCTCAATTTTCTTCATAAGAGCTGCAAATTCTGCAAGACTAGAAATATATTATTTCTCTGAGCTCCTTGAATAACTTAATATCTATTTCAATGCTGGTTATAATACTGCTTTCGTTGGTACACAGTCTCAATGTTCTGTTTAAGACAACTTCACCGAGGAAAAGTCTTAAATTTTCACTCAGTAGTAGACATGGTATACCCATGCAATACAATTTATACAACTTACTGAACAATAATAGATCCCGTTACTTTTATTCGGAACATATTGTTTTGTGGAATGAAAGGGTTTGGGCATTTTCCAATAAATACACAGAATATCAGTAATTTGAAGCATCTCAAAAAACAAGACAAAAGATTTTTAGGTGTACAGGATAAGGACATACAATATAGATGAATCGCCATGCAGATTAATAACTTCCTTAAAAAGTATTTTAAAAAGACCATAACACAAATAATTGACAGTGATTCATTGAATAGATAATTTTTTTGTTCTGCACATTAAAATGAAATTCTCCATTTTTGTCTGCTCTTATGCGTACTACCGATAGGAACAACATGAAATCCAGCGCTTAATATATCTGATATCACATCGTCGGATGACCAACCTTGTTGACGACATCTATGTATCCATGGTAAAGCTTTTACCAGCCAGTGATGGGATCGGAAAAAAATAATGCATAGTCTGTTTTCATACTTCC